ATAGATTTTTCTTTTTTTGTGTCCTGTGAAAAATTTTCATTTCCGTGATTTTAACTTGTTTTTAATTTTTGGTCATTTTTTTGTGTAACAATATGGATATGCTTTTTTTTTTTGATATTTCTCTTCTATGTGCCAATTATTTAAATTAAAGAAGTAAAATATAAAAAAATTGCACTCATTTTACAATCATCAGGAGAAATTATAAAGAAGTTAACTTCTGAATAGAGAAATATACTTTTAAAAAAGTACAAAAAAATAAAGCCAATAAACTTTTAGTCTAGCTCATCGCTCCTAGATTTGTTTTTTGGACCATTAGATAGAGATTTGTGTATGTTGTAAGTTTTTTTTTCTTTAAAATTTGTCTAGATTATTCAATCTTATATCTCTCCAATGTATGCTCATTTTTTATAATAATCAATTTCTTTACAAAAAATAGTACAAATTTGCAAATTTTATCTAAACGATATGCAATTCACAAAACGGAAAAAATTTCTTATTACAAAAGACTTTTTTTTTGTATTTTATTTTATAGAGAATTATTTTCAAATGACAATGCATCGACTGAAGATACTGTATGGTAATTCTGTAGCAGACTTCCTTCGTATTAAAGTATAGAATTGAGATGATAACTAGTCTTAATAACGAAATTAAGTTTTAAATCATCGAATTATAGATTTTTTTTTCAGATATTGATCAGTTTAGAATAAGATTGTGGAATTGATGTGATCAAAAATGATCAAATTATGATTTGTCAGTTAAATCTTGAAAATGTGAAATTGAGGATTTCTGAAATTAATTTCCTGTCAAAGTCTTTAGCCTAATTATCAACTTGGATTGACCCATGAAACTAACCCCAGCCGAAGTCTTAATTTTCAAAAACAGTTTGAATCAAATATTTTTTTTAAAAAAATAATATGAATTGAAATCTTCATTGCTTGCAGAATTTCCATCACATCCCCCAATCTATTGATGCATTGTCAAAAAACAGAAAAGGTGGAGATTTAGAGATTGAACATTAATAAATTTTGATTTATTTACGAGTCGTATACATTTTTATTATTACTTTTTAATATAACAAGAAAAATCATATTCAAATTTTGTTCCTTTATCTACCTCCTAATTTGATTCCAACATAAAAATCACATCAATATTATTTTTTGAAAGGAATTAAATTTGAATGTAAAATTTTCTTTAAAAATGCAAAGAAAAAAAAATTTCATTAAACTTAAGCTTTTTTTTTTTTTTTTGGAAAAAAATTACACATAATATTCTATCATCTCATAATTTTAAATAGTTCTAATTGCACTTAGTTTTCATTTCTTTTATTAAATATTATTTATTTTTTTTTTTCATTTAAAAAATGTTTCCTTTTAAATTTCCACTAGATCTCTAAGTTCGTCCAATAATAATAATAATAATAATTATAATAATGAGTCCGAACTTGAGTGACTTTCTTAATTCTCATAAAATTATATTATTATTAGTTTTTTTTTGATTTCATAACTTGTGGCTTTTTCAATTTATTTTAATAATATTTTTTTTTTCTTTTTATTCATATCTACATCAATTTTCCATTATTCTTCTGTTTGAGGATTGGAACTGATCATTTCATTTTTTCCTATTAAAGCTTGCATTTAACTCAAAGACAAATTCTGTTTCTCGACAAAATATAGTTGAAATGTGTTTGGATTTTAGGGAACTGAATATTTTGATATTTTGTATAATGTTAGACAAGTCAAAAGAAAAATATTCAAATCCCCAAAATCCAGGTTGATGATGGGAACTTAATGGTGATTTTATTTTTCTCAGGGGGAAATTTACTCAGCCTAAAATTTTTTTTGAGTAAAAAATTATTAAAACAAAAGCGTAAAAAAAGAGTAAAAAGTGTAAAAAAAGAGTAAAATGTGTAAAAAAAAGAGTAAAATGTGTAAAAAAAGAGTAAAAAGTGTAAAAAAAGAGTAAAAAGCGTAAAAAAAGTGTAAAAAAAGAGTAAAAAGTGCACTTTTTACTCTTTTTTTACGCTTTTTACTCTTTTTTTACACTTTTTTACGCTTTTTACTCTTTTTTTTACACATTTTACTCTTTTTTTACACTTTTTACTCTTTTTTTACGCTTTTGTTTTAATAATTTTTTACTCAAAAAAAATTTTAGGCTGAGTAAATTTCCCCCTGATTTTTCTTTATAATGTTTTTTTTATCCTTTCAAGAGTAAGTAAATCACAGATAGTGTCACGTGTTTTATTTCTTGCGCCCATAAAACTCATCTTTTAACAAAAAATATGCAAAAGTAATTTTGATTTAATTTTTCCCGTTCCAAAAATTCCTACAGAAATGTCTTTTATATTTTTTTTTCTTTTAAATAAATTCCTTAAGTACGTCCAAAAAGCAATTTTTTTTCATTACAATATTTTTCATTTTGATACAAATATGATTTTTACGATCCCTAAAAATAGCCAAATATGATTTTTTTTGTCATTATAAATATTTTTTTTTTCATTAGTAGGTATATCAGTTAATTTATACATTTATTTTTTTGGGAATTTTGAATATTTCCTTAAAGTGGGCAAAAATGCACCAAAAATGAAAAATATTTTCACTTTTTATAAATTCCATAATTTTTATGATAACACCGAAAATATATTTTTTATGACTTTTTCTCTTATTAAAGATGATTTTTTTTTTATTTCCTTTCCCAAAAATTCTTACTCTTTCGCACATGAAATAGATTTGATTAATAATAATGAGAATAATAATAATTTTGGTATTTTTTTTTCTTGTGTCGATTTATGACATATGAATAATAAATTCTGATGAAAAAGTTCTTTTTTTTGTAACTTCTTGTGATGCGGTACTGCATATGACTTCTTTTTTGATAGAAAAAATATAGTTTTTGAGGACTGTCTGCAGATGAGTTTGTGAACTTGTTTTGATGAATTTTAAACTGGATAATATTAAAACTTATTAAATTTGTTTGAAAAATCAGTTTTGAATTCAGTTTTTACAACAATTAGCCACAAGATGGGATCGATCAATAAAATTTATTATAACTTCTGGACTAGCTTATTTTCAAATCTTAAGCATCAAAATTAAAAAATTAGAATTAAATCCAACTGTATAAAAATCAACACTTTTGAATAATTAAAAAATTTAAGTACAATTGCAATTTTACGCGAGAAATTTAATCAAAATTCAAGAAACCATATTTCGAAAAAACTGAAAATTTCCGCAAAAGCTAACCCACAAACTCATCAAAAACTACCCCAAAAAATATTCCCTTGTGTATATGGATAGTATAATAATGTATCATAATAAAGATTTTTTTTTTTATCATTTGATATGCAATATATCTAGCATTACACAAAAAGCCTTGTTGACATAATATTTAGAAAATTTAAAGATTTTTTCATCGTAAATTCTTGCAAAAGTGATTCCGAAAAACGAATAGATAATTTTGAGGGGTGGGGAGGTTAGGAAAAGTGATAGACATGAAATAATAAGAATAAAAATTTTACACATTTCTTGTTATTTTTCTCATTAAATATGTTTTTCGTTTTTGAGGTAATAATGCAACACGTGAAGACACACACATATATCATTTTTTTCTTCATTTTTTTTTCATCTTTCACTTTTATGTATATATAATGTGTATATAAATAATTTTTTAATATTTTTCTTGTTACCATTTTTATCAGTTTTTATATTGTTTTAAAATATAAAGTTCATCATCATCAATATATAGCGTAAATCGACATTTTTTTCTCTTAAAAAGGATGTTCATTCAATTTTTTTTTCATTTATTTCCTAGAATAACATTTTAGTTTTTTATCGAAAAATTTTTTTTTCAGTGTTCTTAATTTTTTTTTCTCTCTTTTTTGTGTAAAAAGTTTTTCATAAAAATATTTTGTATATCAAAAGTATCATCAAATTTAATTTCCGTAAACATTTTTTTTTCATATTTTTTAAATGTAATTTATTGTTCTTGAATCGCTATACTTAGTCAACGAATTCAGCAATTTTTATAAGTTAATCTTATGATGCATTATTGTTTAATTCATTCATCCTCGAATTTCATTTATTTTTTATTTCCATTTCTCTTTTCTTTTTAGTATTCAAGTCTTGATTTTCATTTATTTTTTATAGATACTTAGTGTGAATGCACACTTCGATTTTACTTGTTTTTTATTTTTCGTGAGGTTTTGAAAAATTAAAAAAATTGGGATTGTAAGTTCAAAAATTTGGTAAAGTTAGCTAGATTGTAAAGATTTTTATGGCCTTTAATGTGATCTGCTTGGTTTTTACTTTATTAATATTTTTTGTAGACTTTAAAATTTTTAAACTTTATTTGAATGTTAAATTTTCACATTTTTAATCTAAATTTGAGTTTTAAACCTGTTCAATTTTTGCATTTTAATAAGAAAAAAAATGAATCAAATTTCCAAAAAAAACTTCAGAATTTTAAATAGATTTGAATTTTAAACTGTTAATTTCAATTGACCAAAATCAATAATCAGCAGAGCACATTGAAGAACCATTCTAATATAAAGTAGGGACAAAAAATCAAGTCAATATTTTTTGAAAATGCATTAAAAAATCCTGAATATTTATCATCCGAAAAAGGCTTATAAATGCACATATTATTATTTTTTTTCTCTAAAAATGTCATTGTTTTCTTATTGAATTTTGGAATGTATACATTCGTTACAAATTTTTTTCATCATTACTAAATAATTTTCTTTAGTTTTCATCACTAGGTAATTAGTATATAAATTTTGAACACCAAATATCGATAATAATTTTTTACCTTGACTTTTTTTTTACTTACACACGAAATATAGATTCAAAAATGGTTGATTATTCTTGTTGCATTTAAAGTGATTTTTTGGATTTTTGGGTACATTGAAATGTTTTCATTTTTTTTTTGATAAAATTTTGAATTACACGAAATTTACATAAGTTTTACTTTTTGTTTATAATGCAACTTTAAAAAGTTTTGCAAAAGTTGGAAAAATTATTTGTTGTTTAATTTTTCGAGGTGAATCAATGCTGTATCTTTTATTTTTCTTAACTTTTTTTGGGAAAATTTTAGCTGAAAAATATTTCTGAGAATGTTATTGGATTTAGATTGTGTTGTTTTAGAATGGTTGAAGGATTAAATTGATTTTTCTTGTGGCTTTATATTCTCAAAATGCAGTATTTAATACTTTTTAAATTGAATAAGTTCATGGTTTTGAAAGTAAAATTTTCGAACTTGATTTTCGCAAGGAAATTTTCGAACTTGATTTTTGATAGTGAATATTTTGAAATTGATTTTCGGGATTGGTTATTCGAACTTATTTTTCGAAAATAAAAGTTTTGAACTTGTTTTCGAAAATAAAAGTTTTGAACTTGATAAGTAAAATTTCTGAATTTGTTTTTTCGAATTTGGTTTTTGATTGAAATATTTTCGAACTTAAAAAATAAAGGATAGAAATGCAAGAGTTGCTTAAAAAATCAATTTAATCCTTCAAAAGCTTCCATTTGTAAGTTATAAATGTTTTTTAAAAATGAATGGAAATGATTGATGTACATAAGTTCCTGCTTTAATAGAATTTCTATTAAATGTTTTTTTTTCTGTCCAGTTTTTTTTCATGTTTTTATGATTCTTTGAAAAAAGCCTTTGTGTTATTCACTGTCGATTGTCAAATTAAATCTATGATGAAAAATATTACAACAATATTTTCTCATTATTTGATTATTTTTCTCATATGTAGTTGTTTGTTTTATTTTTTCTCGCAAAACTTTCTCTCTTGTTTTTGTTTTAATTTTTGAAATATAATTATTCACACATTAGATAGTGATTTCATGTGACATGATGACGATATGTCATAGTGAATAATTTAATTTCAGTTATTTTGAGGATACTAGGGGAAAATTTCTATTATACTTAATTAATAAGCATAATAATGTTTTTTTTTTATTATTAAATTTTCATCTTCATATTTTTTTTTTGGGGGAGCATTGGGGAAAAATTTTCCTAAAATTTAACCAAAAATATATATATAATAATTATTATTAGTTAAATTAATTATAAAACAATGAATCGTCAATCTTTTCATCATTTTATATCATTTCAAAAAAATAAAGATTGCGACACAAAATGCTATATAAATTGATAAAAGTTCTTCCTTAGCTACGTATACATTTCATTCTTCAATATTTTTTTTTTTGTTCATCAATTTTTCTCTGATGACTTACTTAATTTACTTTATCATTTTTTATGACTTAAAAATGTGTGTGTGTATGTGTGTGTAATTCTGTATATGTATTTGTGTTTTGTTTCTTTCCATTAATCATTTTTAATCTTATTATTCTTATTCTTGTTTTTTTTTGAGTGATCATTCATGACTATACATGAATAAAATTATTTAATTTGGCTATCAATTATGAATTAACGTCATCGGAGTTATTGATTGAGCCATTAAGCTCCTCTTTTATCGTCAAATTATCATGTAGTTTTGAGGTTTGCTGCTGATGCTCATGCATTGCATAATCGGAATCAACATCATTATCATCATTCGGAGACGGACTAGTTCGCTCCCTTTTAATATCGTGGTGCGCATAATTTATCGGACTACCAGGTCTTTTATTGTTTGTTACTTGTTGTGATGAGTACTCGTCATCATCGGATGGACCAGAATTGGGCATTGAACTTTTCTTAAGCAAATGCTCAAATAATGTACTATGTGTTAGTTCATTGGGCTTTTTATCTAATGTCGAACGTATGATGCCATCAAGAAATGAACCATTTGTACTTACGGGATTATATAAACTCTCTAAATCTCTTACACTGGGCTTGTTACCATTGTTGGAATTTTGATTACCATTCACAGGGGATTTAAACTGTTGTTGCTGCTGCTGCTGTTGCTGTTGTTGTTGTTGTTCTTCTTGAAATTTTTGCAACATTTGTTGGGCGAAAAAGTTCTCAGTATTTTGTGGAAACGGCGACGAGCTATTTTGAACAGACGATCGTGCAAAATCTAAAGCACTCAAGCCTGAAAATGCACTCGGATGTGGCCATAAGAGCTGTGATTGAAGCTGTAATTGCGCTGCCATTGATGCATGATCAATAAATGGTGGAATTTTTATGCCATTTGGATTTGTTCCATATGGTGGCTTTAATGGCGGTTTTGCATTCGGTAATGCTTTACTCTTATCAATCGCTTGTATTTCCTGTCTTTTTATCGCTGACGTCGTCGCTGATGATGAGGAAGTTGACGAATCAAGTGGCTGTGGTTTCGGTTCTCGTTTTCTTGGTCTCATCAAATGTCGCTCCTTTACTTTATATTCTAATGTGGAATGTGGAACACCATAATAACTTCCAGCACGATGCACTGACATCTCACCCCTTTGTACAGCCTTCACTGCCTCAACTAAACTATCACGATCATAATTACGATATTTTCCACGCTTTGGTCGCGTACCTTTACCACCCGTTCCTGTATTTGGTGACAATTGTTGCTGTTGAAGTTGATTAATATTTGGATTTGTACCAAATTTTGATATATCAGTTCCACCAAGATTCCTAATAACTGATATCGTTGGTCTCTTCTGATATGCATCCATTGTGTCAATAGTCAACGGTGGCATGGAATGTTTATGATCATCAAGGAGATTTGTTTGAAAGTTTTTACTAATACTCTCACGTATGACATCATGCAAATTGAATTTTGCCGTCGGTTGCGATGATTCGGATTCACTTCTTTGGCGCATGAGTGATGGTGATGGAATAGCTAAACGATTTGCTAACGTTGGCGTTTGTTGACCAGTTGATCCACCAACATGAAGCTGTGGACTTATTGAAAGTCCTGAAATTTGCGGTGATGTGGAAGGCGTTATGTCACCATTCTTACTTTGCGTTGACGATGCTGACGATGGAACGCCAGAATTGAACATTGTTTTTGGAATGGACGGAATTTTGAGAATAGTGCTTGAATCATCACTACCGTCATTCATATCCATCTCAGGGGTATTTGATGATCGTGACTTGTGTTTATTTTGCTGTTGCTGTAGTAAGTTCATCATAAGAATTGGATCTATGGAATTTTGCATGCCATTACTTCCACTACGACCATCCATCTTATCATGATGTTTCATGTCTTGTGGTTGTGTTAAAAGTTTCCTAAGAAATTCTGGAAGTTCTTCTTTTGGTGATGACGACGATGTTGACGAAGATGATTGTTGCAGTAATCCCGGAAAACCAGCCAGTCCTTGAAGACCATGAAGTCCATTAGCAATCATTAAACCTTGAATCCACGCCGCTGGATCTATTGGCCATGATGATGGTCCACCCATTGGATTATTGTGTGATGCCGTCTCCTTATGTTCTTGCTTCATAGGCTCAGAATTTTTTGCAAGCATCTTCAAATAATTTTGTAGTTGCTCATTTGAATTACCCAATTTATTCATTGAGTCTTTCTCATTTTCTGGTTCCGAATCTTTTTCATCTTCGTCCTCAAGAACTGCAATTGGTGGATGATTAGCTAATAATTCACGTTTCTGTTCGATTGCAAGCTTGTAGACTTTATTACGTAGTGTCGATCGTGGAATTCCATAGGTTTGAGCGGCACGTCTCGTTCCCAACTTACCGCTAAGTATATCTTGTAATGCATTGTTAAGCTCTTCTTCCGTATACGTTCGACGTCCTGGTATTGTCGATATTCGTGGCTTTGCTCTAAAAAATGAAAAAGAATACGTTTTGAGTCAGTAATAAAATTGAAAATACCTAATTCAAAAAAAAACATTTTATCGGACATGACAATTGTAACTTAAATTGCGCAGATAGCTGATAGCGATTATCAAAAATTAAACAAAAAAAAAATTAAAGAGAGCAATACAACCCAATTTTTATTTTATTTTTCCCATAGTGCCACTTGGAATATTTTCAATAATGTAATTTAAAAGTGAATACATTCACAATGAACTTTGAGTGCTGGGCGAGTGCTGAATCAATGATAAACTTTTTTATAGTTCAAAAGTTTTTTGTAGCTTTTTGTAGTTTTTAAATTCAATACTGCATTATTTGAAGCTGTGAACTGGAAAGGGTCGAGAAGCAGCAGTTGTAGTTGGAATTTGAGAAAATTAAAAAATTTGAAAAAATGAATTTAATTGAACACTTGTTGTGATAATGGCTTAATCTTGTTAATACTTTAGATTTGATTGCAGAAACTCAATTATTGGATAATTGGGAGCAGAAGCTAAAGAATCAATATTTTGGAAGTTGTTCAATTCTCGTCAACAATTGACTACAAAGAAGTTTGTTGCCATGCCAAGTCCAAAAAAATGTTTCATAATAATTGGCAGCAAATTCTCAGAATGTTATGACCTTCCCCAACCAGACCGACTGGATCTCGATAAAAAAATTAAATTATTTACTCAATCAGAATTTAATCACATTTCCCAATAAAAATTCGTCAATTGATCTGATTATCGGAAGAGCCAGGCAAATTAACTTCCGAATGTGCAGTCTGTAATTTTGAATATTTTCAGGACATTAAATGATGTCCCAAAATCAATGAATCCAATTTCAATAAAAATTAAAATTAATTCATCTTTAAGTATCTCCAACTCAATTCACATTGCGCATACAAGCTATATGTCACAACAATCCAGCTCACTTGAAAAATTTATTTTTTTTTTCTCTTCCGTCTCAAAAGAAATTACTTAAGCAATTTTCTAGTATGAACAACAAAGACGTAAGCATGATGATAAAAATTGAAAAAAATGAGGGTTAACTGACCCAACTCAACAAATAATCAAAAGCGAAAACAAAACACGACTATCATGACTTGTAAACGCAATGAAAGTAATAATAAAAAAAAATGTAAAATAAAAACTGCAATCTGGTGATCATAAGTCATCGACTTCCACGCATTTTGTAAATCACTCAAAGTTGAGGTCAAATTGTGTGAAGATTGGCAATTAAAAAGTCATTAGCAATGAATTATTGAAGATCATAGTGATTAGAGATTTTTTTTTGTCTTGATGGAAATAGAAATGGGATGATTAAAGGAAGTGGAAAGTTGTGAATGAGTGACATGCCTGAAGTTTTTGAGTTTTCGATCATTTATATTTTTTAATGGATTGTAACTTGATATTCGTAATGTAAAAGTCGTTTTTGAGGACTTACTCAGTAGATAATTTTGAGTTTAGCCTATCATTTTAATAACTAGAATGGATTTTCCACTGTTCAAGTAATAACTTAGTAATGCTTAAGGATGCATGTGGAAAGATTATGAATGAGCAACCTAATGTTTAAGTAAACCAATTAATTTTCTTGGCACCAAAGTTAATAAGAACACAGCTTGCTAATATGATCCAGAAAAACCTGCTTGAGTAATTTCCACGAATTCAGTAGCATCAACCATCGAGTTCTGTTCTCCACCATTTAATTATGAAATTCTTTTCTATTTCAAACCAACACCTAGAAATTCTTAACATTGTCACCCAGAAGTTTATCGTAGCGACAAAAAAAATATTCTTCAAATTGAATTGATTATTTTTTATTGCACAGAGCTAAAAAGTTTCACATTTTTCTTCACTTTATGCAATTGCATGTGATTTGCTCATTGTTTGTGCACTTTATGTGATAAGAGAACTATTTTCCTTTTCGTTCACTAAACCTTATTTGCACTGTTTATACCTTGCAATTGCATTTCGTAAACAATAATTATTATTTATCTCATTTTCGTATACTGGGGGTCCTCGATTTGAGTAGATTCTATTTGAGTAGATTCGATTTGAACAGAAAATTTTTTACCCACCAAAATATTCGATTTGAGTAGATTTCTTCCTGTTTTCTTCGATTTGAATTGTTTACAAAACAAATATTTTTGATAAAAACATTTCAGAAAATATTTTTAAAACATAAATTTTACTGCAATAAGCGTGAACTTATCATATTGCTCGAAAAATCAATACTAAAGTTACGAAATTAAAGTAAAAATTTAAAAAATCGATATAAAATTAACGGTTTTAAAAAGTTCAAATTCAAAAACCCTACAAATTGTTCGGTGAAATAACATTTGCAAGGCTCTCATATTTTTGTTTTGTTTCAAAAACAAATTTTTTGTGAATTTCTGTTTAATAACAATATGAATATGCGTTGAAATAAATTAAGGTATCAAAAACACATAGGAAAAGCTAAGAAACGAGGTAAAATGTGCAAAAATTATCAAAATTTTCATTGTTTTGATACATTTTTTGGACTCTGGAACAAAACATGTGATTTTGTATGGATTCTTTGCCTCGATTTGAATAGATTCGATTTGAGTAGAATTTTTTTGGAACAAAACAACTACTCAAATCGAGGACCCCCAGTAAATTTCTTATTCTTATGTTTCAAAATAAAATATTTAGTCTGATGTGCAGCATCGAGGAGTGAATATACTTTTTCAAAAATATTTGTCATTCATTGTCATTCAAAATAAAATAGAGATTAAGAGAAATGAAGTAATTGCCGACTATTTATCTCATCATCATCTTTGAATATGTATAAAAGAAAATTTGTGTGTGGGATTTGCCATTGGATCACTTACACTTTTCACTCTCATTATTTACATTTTATAGTTCTATTTGAGTAGGCAATATCATGTGTGTATATGAATACAGAAAGAATGATGCACAGATAGACCGAATGAATGAAGAAGTTGTGTTTAGTTTGGAATTAATTTGCATTCCTAGAAGTAAGTGAGCATATGCATAAACTTCATAATGTACAAACAGATACACATATAGTCACATTTTTTTTTTTTTGAGGAATATTGTTTATCGAAACTTTCATTGAAACAATGAACTGAATGAATGTTGATCCCATGTCTCTTACATTGTCGTAGTTTGTAAAGAATGATAATATACATTTGTGTCTGCAGGAATGAGATGAGTGTTTTATGGTTATTTTTAGGGGTTCGGTTGAAATTGAACATTTTTTAAAGTTTTCTAGATTTTGGAAATTGAAAATTCATTAAATCTGAATTTTTAAAATTATTCAAATCAAAACTTGAACCAAAAAAATTTACATTTGAAAATTAAAACCAAAGTTCAAAATTTGAACTTGAAAATCAAAAAATTGATTTCAAAATACGTTAAAAAATTAAAACCAAAGTTCAAAATTTGAACTTAAAAATCAAAAAACTAGACTTAAAAATCAATAAAAATTGAACTTAAAGTTTAAAGTTCCAAACCTTATTTCTAAAATTTCAAGATCAAAATTTTGGCTTTAAAGTTTGAGTATAAAGTTAAAAATTTGAACTTCAAATTAAATCTATAGAATACAAATCGTCTCTCAGCATTACTTTTGGATGTAGTTTTAGCTGAATAATTGACTTTCATGCAGGTTAATTTTGATTTCTGAAAATCTAGTCCCATTAGTCCTACTAGTCCTATTCTTGACAATCTATCCTATAAGAACCCTCCCGTTAGAACCTCTATACATGCACACATATATCATTATGCATGAAAGCCCATTTTTTCTTCTTATTTTGCATTAAAAAAAATTGTATGTAGAAAAACAGAATTTTTATATGTGGCAGTATAACAAACTCTTCAGTTCTCATTACACGAAAAAAAAAAATAAAAAAAATTGCAGAGTTGATATGCGAAAGGTTAATAAACTTTTCAATGCAACATGCCATATATGTGTGCATAATATTTATGACAAAAAAAATGTAATTACACGTCGTTCTGTGTAAGTGCGTACTCTCAAATTATTTGACTGCAGTTTTTATTATTTTTGTACATGAAAAGGGTTTTTTTTGTGCATTAGAGACACAGTCACACACATATACAGCCGACATAAGGCTTATGCATAATTAATTTGAAATTTTTTTTATTTTTGGCATGTCATTCACAAGTTGTAAAGAAAGAATTTCTTCTTACTAGTTTTTTTTTTAAAATATTTTTCTTCTAGAACTTTTTTTTTTGATCAGTGAGACTTTTTAATATTAAAAGCAGCTGCAAATTTTCCAAAAAAAAGAAAGCATTAAATTGAAATATGGTAAATGAGAAAGATAATTTGGCATGAATATAAAAGAGAGAAAGATCGTGTATGAAATAAATTCTGATATATCAGCACAGCCCAACAGAGAAAAAAAAAATCAAATTGAATTAAATTGTAATTAAATGTTCTTGATGAAATTTTCATTGGGTTCCAATTTTTTTTGTGTATATTGATACAATTCTCGCTTAAAAATAATTGAATCAAGTCCTCAAAAATAATTAAAATTGAAATTCACAACTCACCTGAATATGTTTCTTGAGTCAATTGGGGTTGTTGGTGTTGTCGATGAGCCACTAGGTTTTGCACTAAGGTCCAATGGAACATCCCCCGAATGATGTGTTGGAGATGGTGATGGAACCTCGATGCTTGTCGGTGTCTTCACTGACGGACTTAACGTACGATCAGGTGTTGTTGTTGGTGATACTTGTGGAAATTGATAAAATAAGTCTGAGAAATTTTTAGGTTAAAATAATTTTTTGAGGTTAGAAAAATGCAGAAAAGTCAACTTACTCTGATAAAATGGATTCAATTGGCTTAGCTGATTGAGTTCGGGTGTTTGTAGTCGTTGAAAGGCTGCAAGTTGTGCAGCAACTGATTCCAAAGAAGTCATATTTGGATTCAAGCCAATTGTCTTTAGCAGTGCTTCCAAATTTTTCTGTACTAACGGTGATGCTGTATACTGTGATTGTTGATGTGACGAATAATTATTGTTTTTCTGAATTGTATCAGAACTAGAGCTCGAATCTTCCGATTCAATAATCTATAAATGAGATCAAATAATTCATTATAAAGAAATCTCATTTCCTTGACATGATTAAAGTTTGCACTTACATGCTTGTTGAGCTCAGCTTCCGGTTGCACCGGACCTGTCTCAACGACTAATTCGCCTATTTCGTTCACTTTTAATAGTTTGCCGTCGACACAAAAGTAACACTTATCTTGTGGCTTCCAATCGACTGGTTCAGGTCGTACTTTTTCTGATTTTAAATCTCCTACTTCTTCAGTCAACGATGATTCACTTTTTATTTGAATTTGTTCCTTTGATTCAATTTCTACTTCTTTCTCTTGATTCTCTTTATCTTCCGCTTTTATTTCTGTTTTATTATCTGCAGATGCAACAAAAATAATGAAAATGCATGCATTAATGTGTGCTTAAATTAGTGAGGAAGTTATGCATGGGATGGGTGAATGAGGCGCAATTTGATGAAAATATGACTTTAAAATTTGAGTTTTTAATACCATGTAAATAACGGTCATTTATAATTTAAACTTTAACGATGAAAAGAAATTTAAGTTTTTAAATCAATTAAATTTTCTAGTCAGGGGTCGTTCACTTATGACGTCCGAAATTAACGCTCATTTTTTAAATCAGAACAATAGAATTCCAGGAATTTCTATTGTTCTTTTCTTGCTGACCCCCCCCCCCCCCTGGTCGTCGTAAGTGAACGGCCCCTCAGGTTAAATCAAATCACAGTCATAATGACCGATTATCTTAAGTCTTCCCATCAAAATTGCGTTCAAAATAGAGACATGAATAGATGTAAAATAAAATTAATAGAGATGATGAGATTAAGTTTAAAGAAAAATTCTATGAATTGATGATATTTATTGACATTAAAAGTAACCGTACCTAATTTTTCGCTAACGTCTTCTGTAGTCATCAATTTATTCTCTTCCTTTATATCTAGTGTTTCCGTTTTAATTCCAGTTTTATTATTTTCACTATTTTGCTGCTGCTGATGCTTATTACTGGTTTCTTGTTGTTCTATACAATTTTAATTTTTTTATTATATTACACATCATGCGAATATAATAAGTACAGAATGCAATTTTTTTTTCATCATAAAAAAAAGTATAAGAATGATGAAGAAGAAGAATAAAAAGTAGAAATAAGAACGCATTAAAAAATTATTATAAGATTTTGCGCACGTCAAAATAGATCTTTAAATCTACACGTTTGGATCATCATCATCATCAAGCAGTATGTGATTGTGTGAATAAGAGAGATTGAAAAGAGGAAATGCTTTGAAGCTATTAACAATTTCCAGTTTTCTATCTATTTCAACGTGGCATTAAATGTAACACTCAAATCATTAAGACTTACCAATTGAAGGCGATTGTTTCGTAAGTAAATCTGCATGTGATTGTGCTAAAGATTCTTGATACTGCTTCCATTTTCTTCGTCCCATCAATTCCTCAGCTACTCTTTCTAATCCTGTTGCATGTAATTGATGTTATCCCCACCCAATATGATGTACACACGAACATCGTCCATCGTAAACAATTTGCGGATTTTATAATTAATGCAATTATAATTGCAGTTGGTTTATTGATGAATAAATGTGGAGAAGAAAAACATTGACATGATTAGAATATCAAAGGACAAATTATAATTTAATGTTTGTTGTTAATTTGATGGATAATATGTATGGATGTACATTTACATATTATTTACCATAAGGATATGGACATAACTGTATCAAATTGATTTAAATTCACTTTTTTAAGGTCAATTAATGCATCACATATATTTATAATTACCATTGAAAAGGAAATGGGGGGGGGGGGACTATGTTAAGTGATCATTTATTTAATTACAGTTTTGCACTGAATTATAATCATTTTCGTGAATGGCTTTAATGTGAAACTGGAAAATTATGGTAATATTCAATAAGTTTTTTATTTTTGAGCCTGCCTGAGTTATTAAATATTGTGTTGCACAGAACAGGTTCTGTGTTGGAAATTTGAGATTCAAATTGACTTCTGAGATTCAAATTTTATACACTTTAGTTTCATTCCCCTTTCGTTTACAAATTTGAGAAATTTGCAAATTTTTTTCGAAGTATGTCATTAAAATTAAATTTCCTGATTACAGTAGACTACAATTGATTGATTTAGTAAGAACTTTAAGATCTATTCAATGACGGGAATCCCAAATTATAGGATTTAGGTAAGCATTCTATTTTTCAACTAATTTACTGTTCCAAAAATGACTATGACTAAGGAAACTGCAGTTAAAAACTCAGATAAAACTTTAAACTTGACACACTTCAAAAATTACTAATTTCCAGCAGTCATCTGGCTCAAGGATGTTTCTAGAACCTCAAATAATGACAAAAAATTTGAAAAAAACATTTTAGCTATCACTCTATGATATGATCACTTTATGACTTAAATTTTTCATGATATCATCAGAAATGATGAGTAAGTTCTTAGGAACACATTGCATGTCTAGTCTAGCTTACATAAATTTAAAATTTATGAATCTAATTTTAGAAAAATTCTCATGACTTTTTCCTATAATTTTCTTCCACAAGCATTCGTTTATCAAGAAAACCTTAAAATTTAGCCACAAACATGAACGATTGTGAGGCATAGTGTAGGAAAAAATATTTTGACGATAGAACCTCAATTTATTATTGGATCAATAATTGAGTATATGTGCTATGTATGTGGTTTTTAAGTAAAGCGGTTTATTCAAATCGTGCGTATTGCCGGCGTCAGAGAGCATTTACATTTCAACATATTGCACAACTATATTCACATACATATGTATGCATAAATTGCACATGTGAAAGTTGTAAAACGCATTAATATTTAATCAAATTTCTACCATCCAACCCCACACACAAACATCTGACAAAGTGATTTTGCAACCTCAAACAGAAAGCCATCAAAACTTCCTTTTAAACCCCCCAACTCCTTACCACCCCTCTTTTTGTATAATGCAATAAAAGGAACTTTGTGAGGCCATAATAGAGTTTAGGAAATTATCCATAATAACGCTTTATTTCATTTCACTAATTCTTTCACTTTAATTCTTAAAACTAACCATAATGTACGAAATATGGGTTGATAAGTTACTCTGCTGATTGTGGATAAACATGTGAAATAGGAGAGACAAAAAGTTGTGTTTCTTGTGCAGGGTTTACTATTCGAGGATTTATTAAAATAAACTTTTCAAAAAAGGGAAATTTTTGAGTTTCTGAGAAAAATTTCGATCATTAAAATTTTGAGAATCGAACTCTTAGTTTTAAGTCAAGTCTTTGAGTGACTAAAAAGGAAAATTTTTGAGTTTCTGAGAAAAATTTCGATCATTAAAATTTTGAGATTCGAACTCTTAGTTTTAAGTCAAGTCTTTAAGTGACTAAACTCGCATTTATTTCATTTGTTCTCTATTTGACAATTCGATAAAGTTTCGAAACATCAAATTACAAATTATTCAGAATCATGAAGCCTTAAATGTCCAAATGATTTTACAATAAATTAAATTCAAACACATGGTTAAGGTAAGAAGGGCAAAACATCATTTTCATGTAAATTTATTGTGCATTTACTGATATTTATTGTTTCGGAAAGAATGCACAGGATATTTATTCAGCTGAACATGTGTTTGCTCCTCTTCTATCCATTTTTTAATATGAACTTTATTTTTGTATTTTCGCTCCATTTTTTTTTATTTCTATACCTCACCGTTTATTATCATTGCCGTATTAAAATTAGAAGAAAGATAGTGACTGTAGGAAGTATTGTTACACATTGCGGAAGAAAATTACATCAATTACTAAAACAATTTGCAACCAGATCATCACAAATGAATCACCATAAAATTACATTTCAGTTTAAATTACGAAAAAAAAAATAAGTAGAGATCAAAGCGAGAGTCATTACCACACATTTTTATTATCAATGACATGCACGAAGTCAATAACTTTCATTGAACTTTTTTTTACATTTCAATATTTTTGCCCATCCGAAATATGAAATCTTTTCTACCCTTTTTTTCGTTTTTTATTTCATGTATGAGGAATGAGACATTATAGATTACATTTTCCATTGAAAAAAAAGTGCAACGACATCGGTTTCATGTCCTTCTTTTCGTATACGAAATGCTTCCATTTCAAAAAAATGTATTTATAAAAAAAATCGTAACCCCAAAATGCAATCGATCGATTTTCCTTGAAAATATATTTTTTCTTGCTTCTCAATTCTTGAAGGCAATTGTTAATAGAAAAAGAAAATGGGTGTGGGTATGAGATGGTTTGTGGACGGGGTGGAATTGATTGGGGTGTATTGAAGTAATAGTTTTCCAATCAAATTTTCAATTTTTTATTAAAAACCAAACTGAAGCATGCAGCAGCAGCTTTGACTCTAATGAACTTTGGCTGATGGTGGCAGCGATGAAATTATTTTCTTCTTCTTCCTTCATTTTCCTCATTCTTCTCGTTCATTTCGTCAAGGATTTTTCTTTCATATTATATATTTTATTTTATTTTTTCGTTACTGAATATAGCAAAAATTCATCTTCTCTTGAAATCGAGTGTATTAAGTGCCAGCAAGAGAAGAAGAGTAGGAAAGGGTTTTACTGGCAGTGGTATACGGGTGATGGTGGATAGATATGATTACACATAGCGAAAATAATTTTATAGGGGAATAAAAAAATTGATGCAAATGAAAGAAGAAGTGATGACAAGAAAAAAGCTTTACAAAATGCAATTATTAAATGTACGGCGTGAGATTTAGGGTTGTCAAGTTGATTTTTGTGTGAGTTATAATAGTGAAGATGTAGATTGGTTTTTAGTCAAATGTAAAGATAGTAGTTCTTGGCTATCTCTAGCAAATCAGTCAAAAATTCTCTCATGCGTGAGTTCTAATCCCAGTATTAAATTGAGTGTGATTTTGATAATTAATTGATAAACCATTCAACATCCTTATCCAAAAATTCTAAATCAAATAAGAATCCTTTAGATAAAGACTAGTATCCTGGCAATGAATACCAGCTTATTCTCAACATCCAATACATCTAAGATAGAAAAGCTCAAATACAACTTGTTGCATGTACATAGATAAATGCAACACTTCCAGTTGATATCCCTGCAACACTCTCATAAACTTTCCCACACCTTAAAATAAAAATATATAAAAGTGCTTGTGTTGCTAAGAACGTGAAATTTAATCAGGAAATTTTTTGCACGCTACATCACTGTCATAATTCTCCTCGACTTTCATCTCAAAGCTTAACTCTAGCTCCTGCGACTGTTACTGATTTTTTTTTTTTGTGCCATCATAGTCATCGTCCAAAGAAGAATGTGCATATAAAAAAAAATCACAGGCAGAGAATAAAGGAGAGCACCAGAGGAGAAACTAAATAAACATTTTTATTTCGTAAAATAAAAGAATGAGCCACATACAGATGAAACCGAGAAGCTGTGCTGAGATATTAAAGAAGAGGAGCTTTTTTTTCCTCGAAATTGTATACAAGGATATACATAGAGATGTACACTATAAATTAAACAAAAAAAAGATGTATAATACACTATGGAGATTGAGATGAGAAAAAAAATTCTAGAGTGTATGTGGCATAGCTTGAAGGTTTTTTTCATCCTTCGATGATGATAATATAAAAAAAATTCAGGCTTACTAATACACACACAGTTGAACACCATACAGCAAGTAGTGTATATAGCAAAAAAAAAATAGATAATACACGAAAAAAAAATCCTTCGTCGACGAAAAAAAGTGCATAAAAATATTGAGAAAAAAAATGTACAGTGGGTGGTATGAGAAATGACTGACGACGAAAGACAGGGATCGGACTAAGCAAGGAAATGCACACAGAAAATTATATTTTATGTGCATAAAAAAACTAACCCCAATTCCCTCTTCCTTACCTCGAATCAACCTTTTCTCATTCTCATTCTCTCTCCGTCTCTCATTCGGTGGAATTTTTTTTCGTATTTTTTTTTTTCACGAGTAGAAAAAAAAGTAATTGGCAAAAGGTGGCTGTTAAGGAAATGAGGGTGAGAAGGGGGACAAAAGGAATTGTGTGTGTATGTGTGTAAGTGGGCAAATGCTCCACTAATCAATAAAATTGCATTTTTTGCCATTTTTTAAGGTTTAATATATAATAAAAAAATTTTCGTGTGTCGTTTAAAGTAGCAAGAAATGTATCTTTTTACCACTACAATTACATTACTTCCATACCAGATTTTCATATAATATGTATGAAAAGGAACAAAAAAATGTCATACAGACATGTTCATGTAGATAATTTTTCATAAAAATGAATTTTTTTTTCTTACCACAACTTTTTTATTTTCGGGCAAATTCGGTCTGTCAGGAAATATTCGCCTGACTGAATAAAAAATCTTATCTTTAACAGACGATTGACAAATCAAAATATATGTTCATAAATTGATGATTCATTGTTGTGGT